TTTTTAACGAGTTAGGATTAATTTCGAGACATTTCTGGTCTCATACAAGTTCAGAAGATAACACGTTTGCACGCATTCCAGACCATTTAACCTGTGCGCATGCGTTAAATTATTATTTGTTTTAACGCGTGCTAACCTGCGTTAGGGTATCAAAAATATTTCATGGGTATCAATAAGCAATAGAATCTAGTATTTGACTTTCCTGAGTCAAATTAATTCATGAGTCATAATTTTCTTTACCGAATTATGACAAGTTGTTTAGAACTGACTAAAGTCGAAAACTGCTGTTCGACTGCTTTTCTTCTTTGAACAAATTAGAGCGACATCCTACAAAACTTGATGTGCTGGGACAAAAAAGGATGACATGTCGCACGCTTTTGTCCTCGGGTTTACTTGAAAATCTAAAAAAACAACAAACAGTACTCAAGCAAAATTTACAACTTCCTTTGTTTATATATAAAACAGTTTGATTTTGTTTGATTTTTTTTCCAGTTCAATGAATAATTACATTCACTCTTTTTTTCCTTGAAGGAAGAAAGAAACATCAAATTTTTTGTTTCATTTCTTTCACTGAAATAACATTATTTGTGCATGATAAAACTCTTTTACTTCATCTGATATTTGCATACTTTGTTTTTGTTTATAGAAACAAATCTTTGTGGATGCAGTATCGTACCGAAAACAGAACAAGATTTCGTTTTTAAATAAACACTATGAAGTTCAAAACGGCTGCAAAACTAATTATATATTTAAATTCAAAATCCACGTTTGTGACATCCTCTAAATCAAAACCTCTGACTACTGATTCTATTGCCGGCAGTCTTCTTGATGGTCACGCCGATGCGAGCGATATCGACATCATGTTGAACGAAGGTAACATTTATTTCGAGTCTCACTTAATTTCCACAGAACACCCACTATACGTATACGTCAAAGCTACACGTAGTCTATCTTATCTTCCTCATGGCACACTATCATCATCGACAATCAATTTGGTAAACGGACTCAAAATGAAATATCAACGGTTCAATTTTGGCCCTTTAAAATCATGGATAAATTATGATAATATTAAGATTGATGTCAACAAAGCAAGCATTGTTCAAAAACCGTTTTTTACTAATCCTATGAACGATATGTTCACCACATTGAGCACTCTACTGCCAAAATTTCCACGCCCGGATTTCAGTGAAACAATGTGGAAACTACACACAATTGTTAGTGAATATTTGAAAGAATTGATGCGACGACAACGTACGCTCCAACGACAACGTACAGGCAGGGACGAGAACGATATCTTCAAAGCGATGGACTTGTTGATGATACTTTGGGGCCCATTGGTCGGACACAAACTGCCGGATGCGTACAAAGTCCAGATAAATGCACTTATTCAGTTTTATTTAAAATATAAACATCTGGCTAATCGAACACTCGCTCACGAATTATTTTGTAGCATTATAAACAAAATCGGTAACTATGATTGTGACATTGTCTTCTCGTTGGAACTCAAATTTTGGCCTTCAGTTGTTCTGCCATTTCTCAAACGAATTAAAAATAGTCCAAATTGTCGATTATCAGCATTGTACAAGGAAATAAAGAGAACAAACATGCATGTGGTGCCAAAAGGATCTGCACTTCATGATTCTTCCGTATCGGAATATGAATTTCGTCTCTCATTCTCAGCACTCGAATATTTATTGTTCCAACAACGAAGTGAAACGGAACAGTCTCTAGCTAAGATCGCACGGAATATTTATTACACATTTTTGAAAGATAAAACAGATATAACCTCCTATTTCGCCAAGACAATCGTACTATGGATGTGTGAAGAGATTGAACTGGAAACCGATGATGAAGTTCTGGCTAATCAATGGATCTCATTTGCATGCACAAAATTACAAGAAAGATATTGTAAACATTACTTCGTGGAAAGTATCAATATTCTTGACCCGTATTTGACAGAAGAACTAAGCAAAGCTCAATACATTCTCGAAAATGATTTTGATTTCGGGAAACTGAAGACGCCACAAAACAAACGAACATCAAAAATTGACTTACAACACATTGACAAATTTGTACCGTGGATCGAACAACTAAATGTTCAAGATGTCCTTGCGATGCTTAAAGATTGGCGAATACTGAAATGTCTCCACTTTCCTTATGAAAATAGTCTGAATCCGATCAATGAATGTTTAATAGTACTGAATGCTTTAGCATTACTTGGTGATGATCTCATGGATTGGGAGCGTATTTTACTACGTTCAACAACAACAGAGCGAGTATCTGGCGCTGATAAATTCCAAAAACTTTGTCAAGAAAATATGCTTTCGCCCATAACTTTTTCCTATGGTACACTAATATCGTTAATGCTGTTAACTCTCTTTAAAGCTATGACGAGTGAAACGTTTTCTGCCGATCTAAAAAATGCAGATGAGTCAATTGTTATAAGAATAATCGATGTTATACTCAAAGCTAAAATATTTACGATTAGACAAGGTAAGCATCGTCAAATTTTTTTCTTATTTAACCGCTCTTATCTCTTGTTAATATTAGAGTGGTATGAGCCGGGAATAATTGATTTATTACAAAAACAAGCGCCATATATATCATCAATACTATCACATATTGACGTGGAGCAGATAATGAAGATAAAAGATCTAAAGGTGTTCGATGATTTATTTCCCGCAGCACCACCGCCACTGGAAATACATGATCACGATGATGTAGAGTCTCAAACGGCTGTTTTGACAATGAGATTATCTTTGATAATGAGTAGACAGTATCAACAACCAACGTTTTCAACATTCAAAGCTAACAATTTGAATTTATTGATACTAGATTTTGTTTCATCAGAGAGTGAAGAGTATGCGACGAACTTCAAGTATTTAAAATCTTTTGTCGATAAAATAAAATCGCTGTGAAATTCTGAGTTGATAGAACATATTTTTGATTGTAATTTCATTTCTATTTAGTTTATTTAAAAAGAAACTTTTGGAACGCTTAATCCGAAATGGAGCTGTTGATAGCATCGGTTTAATACGTAATTATTGGACGGTTCAAGTATTTTCTCCTTCCACGCTCGACTCTGCAATTGCGTACAATCAAACTCATGTAAGAAGTAAAAAATAGCTCTGCCGTTAATAATTTCCGCTATTTAGAATGATATGGCTGAGAATAATTGTGCTTTCGTAACTATGTGGCCATTGCTAGGTGATCAGTTCATATTAATGCAGACGTTCTTGTGTATGAACGATGGGCGATATTTTAACTTCAAAATGGGAACTTCAAGTTGGACAAATGAAGTTCTTTTGTTAAGACTAGAGCGATTGTTATGCAATTGATATATATTATACAAAACAATGTACAAGTATTCTAGATTATTTTTATTTGGCTGTTACGTCTAAACATTTTACAGTAAATAAAATCTCGCTAATAATACTGTTGTCGTCACTTATATAATATATCGACCACTGAAATAAGAAATGCATGATTTTAAAATTCATTATGAAAAAAGAGCAGATACTCGTGCATATGTGGTTACAATCAGTGAGCAATATGAAATGCAAAGTACAAAGAATAACATTTTCATCATTTAGTATTCGGCAATACAATTCATCTTGAGCAAATCGTGTAGAATTAAGCGTACTTACATTAAAAGTCCACGGCATCATAAAAAATACTGGTAACGAATGATTCAAGGTCACTATTACTAGCTCAGTGGGGTAGCCACGGCGGAGCATTTGGACTAAGGTCTAAAATTTTCGAAGATTATCAGTCATGGTTTCAGAAATATATACAAAAAATTTCAGACATTCATCATTTGTCTATGAAAGAAAGGTTATCATAGGCATTATTATCACCCAGTAAAGTAATGTTATCCGAAAGTTATTATAGACCGATAATAGTTAAATAGTGTTGAAAGGAAGAGTCCGCATAAGATTGACCCACTTCATTTTTTCTCTAAAAACAAATTATTACCAGTCGGATTTAAGTAAATCCGCGCATTCTTAGTAACTAATGTCCAAGTAATTCTTTGTCAATAACTCATCCCCCCAAGATCAACTACAGGTTTGTAAAAGCTGTTTTTCTCATATTCTTTCGCGTAGGCGACAAAGTAAATATATCATTGGATAGCCTCTAACATTCTCCAGAGAATATGTGTGACATACCAGTTAACTATAGTGCTTTGATAGCACTAGAGCGCTTAGAATAATCCTACGTATACGATATAGTACAGAGTCCTCGCTTGTGTGATCCCTTTTGCTCCAAAACAAGAAAACATACATTTTTGTATTAAACCCCTCACAATAGAAGACCACCTAGACTTCTATTTGGTCCGGCAAGTCGAGTTCTAAAGGATGGTCTTCCATTGCGATTAAATTTTACCGCCTGCTAGTAGTCTATAGAAAGTATTTTTCACATTAGGAAAACGAAGTTCACTTAGAGTCGCGGAAAAGTTCTTTTTCATAGTCAGCACACTCAATAATTCCGGCGATCTTGTATTTTTGGCGACACACATTGTCAAAAGTTAAAGAAAAATTTTCAAACAAAATGGGGTAAAAATCTCCATAGGACAATAATATTATTATAAATATTTTCAAAGATTGTCTTTAACCTCT